GTATGTCACGGATGTGAACCAAAAAGTTTGGGACGAATACGCTAAACGCCTGACCTTCGCCATCAATACGGCCCATGACCGAGTACGAGGTGATACCTCATTCTATCTTGTCCATGGTTGGGATCCGCGATCAACGCTGAAAGCGAGCCTGCCGTTGAGATGTACTAAATTACGTGATCGGGATCCCCCGGAGATGGCGCTATCACATACAGCGGCAATATCAACGAGCCCGCGCTACGGTGAATGACCGACTGAAGGACGCCATTTAAGACCGAGCTGACCAACACAACGTTGATCAAGGGCCAAACGGAATCAGCCGCGGTAGACAAGTGTGGCTATATTTGGATCAAGTAAAGGAGGGATATGCCAGGAATCTGTCTCACATGTGGCACGGCCCGTTTTGGGTGATCGAGAAGTGCGGGGAACATGCAGTGCGGTTGGAGGTACAAGGGACCCCATACCGGATTCTCACTCGTTCACGTATATAAGCTGAAGCTAGTACGGATGTTCCCTGATCGACCTGCTGCGCGGCTAAAGGTAGAAGAAACAGAGCGTCTTAATTTTGACGAAGCTCTGCTCCCAGAGGAAAGCTAGTAAAAAGGATCTAGCCGAAGGAGAATACGAGGTGGATAGTATCCGAGATGTGAGAACAAGACGAACGACTCGTTACGGAAGGGTACACCGACAGTTCCTGGTCCGATGGAAGGGTCGTAAGGATAATATTTGGGTGGATGAGGCAAACCTCAATTGTGGTGCTTTATTGCAAGAGTTTGAGCGTGATCGAGCTAGGCGAAACCTTTTCGAAGTGATGCAAGTACATGAGGAAGAATCCAGATGTTAGGGTGACTAGGGACGGTAACCGCGGCCTTGAAGCATGGGGACTTTATGGTCTGTGAGAGAACGAGGAATGACCACGTTAACCATGAATGTGAAGAAGTGATGTGGTTAACTAACATGGTGATCATACTGTTAAGATGACCAAGAGCTGTGACCGCGGCCACGAAACACTGTGACCGCCTGGTCTGTGAAAGAAGGAGGCATGACTACGTAAGCTATGGATGTAAAGGAGTTGCGTGGTCAACCAAAGCGGTGTACACAGAAGCAAGAAAACATGGTGAACAGACTTCAGTAGATGTGAATTTAATAAGCAGCGACTGGTGTTATGGACTGTGAACATAAACGTCATGGTCTCTCATGCTGGAGACGACCTTTCACTGCGCTACAAAGTTGGTCCGGAGACGGTCGATGAACGATGTTGGGTGGTCAGCAACGGCCGCCCGATATTATTTGCGCCAGGGGTCAGCGGAATCCGCATGGTGTAAGGCTGAGGCCAGATTAGGGATGTTGGTCTGTTGACAGCCAAACCCTGGATACCACCAACATTTCTCAAACCGTCCTGGTAAAGGCAGAAAGAAGGGGTCCAACAGGATGTCGAGGTCACACTGACCCCCGACCAATCCCTCCAACACGATCCGAAGTCCAGCCTTCCACCAGGGGCTGGACCGGGAACGCCGACGACGCCTTTCTTCATAGAAGACGCTCAATCCAGGGTCTTTCGCGCGACTTGGACCCACGATGATCGGGAGCACATGAGTAGACTCCCATAATGCCTGGCGATGATGGGCATCGAACTCACGATACGCGGTCATCAAAGCTTGGAACCAGCCAGTCGGGCGAAATGACACAGGCGCAATAGGCCGATCCAAGACGTCCCAACGTTTCTGGCTGTATAGAGCAGCAATCTGGGCGGAGGTCACTAGCCCCGGGGACCACTAAGCTTCAGTTGGCGGACGCAGGGACCGTTCGGAACGGGGAACAGGTAGTTTTTGGGCCGGGAGTAGTGGTGGAACAAGAGATCCAAGTCCAGGTGACCTACAGCGACCAAGCCCAAACGATGGGATGACCACGGCAAAAAATGGCCAGGGGCATAAGTTGTACGAGTGCGATACCCAGGAATCCACTTATCGCGCGAGGAACGCACAGGGGGTAAAGCCTTGAAAGCGGTCGGGGATAAGAGCTTGTTCACTGGGGCATGACCGTAGCTTGGTGCCCTCACCGACCCATCGGACTCGTCGGGCGCCCTGGGTGGCTCTGCGGTCGGAGGTGTCGCAGCGATGGGCGGCGACCGGGAGACGGCCGATGAAGTACGTGTATCACGTCTTGACGGAGCCGCACGAGTCGCGGGTGTATGACTGGCTAGATCGATCTAGATCGGAGTGTCAGCCAACCCATCAGCAAATCTTGTAGTCGAGGCAGAAGAGCGCCGTCGAAAGGAAGAACGTGACCGTGACAGTGCGATGAGCATGGCCTCGTCAGCGAATTCTATGGAGCCGTCGCTATCCCGCGCAAGAGATGCGAAGGGGAAACGCGCTCGTGTTTGCGTCTGTGTCCGCCGAGTCATTACAGACGGTAGCTTGGTCACGGTCTTGAGCTTGGACGATGTTCTGGTCGTACGTGCTGAAATCTTGGGGAATTCGAGGCGAGGGCGAGACGCCTGCCGGGACTTGGAGTGAGTAGATACCGATCGTGAATGGGAAGTTGGGCCGGCGGGCTCTGCGACCGTAGAGGAAGGGTTAGCAGGAGAAATTGGTCCGACCGCAACGCGAGGGTGACCGGGGAAATTTAAGAGGATCGCTGTTACGTCACATGGTCTACGGGCTGGCAGACGAATCTGGTCCGACCGAACTCGAGGTGACCGTTACGCGCGCACGCTTGTTCGGGGGTGGCACAGGATCGGCCGCTGACAGCTCTCTCCGCCGCTTATCATAGGCGAGCCCCACCGACGGCAAAAGCCCCATAACGAAGTTGACCAGATGGTTGCGCTGGGCCTTGCGGTCGCGAGAAAGCAGATCCCTTTCGGCTTGCAACAGTGCTAGTTCCTCGACATGAGCAGCATGGGAGGAGCGCAAACGGTGAAGCTCTTGGTGGCTTGAAGCACGCTTCATTTTCAATTAGTCAAGCTCCTGATCACGTTGTGAAAAGCTGCGAGCAAGCGCATCGAAACCGATCCGCAGTGGAGCAACACGCTGCTCACTTTCCACTACTGCTCGCCGTAAGTCTTCACACTGCTTAGCTAACTAGTCAACCTCGGTCGTGTCCACGTCATGCACTTGGTCACTATCCACGTCAGAATTAGCAGAAGAGGCATCGTCCGCCGGGGCGTCATCAGATCCGACCGAGAAGCCAACAGGGTCGGCAAGGTGGTCAGCCGGAGCGGAGCTGGCTTGGTACAGATCGGCAGTGTCCAAGTTACGCCCTTGGTCGCTACCCACCTCAGCATCGGCAGGATCAGCATCGACAGAAGAAGCATCGTCCGCCGGGGCGTCATCAGATCCGACCGAAAGGTTAACAGGGTCCGTGAGGTAGTCAGCCGGAGCGGAGCCGGCTTGGTCAGACTCGGTCGCATCTGGTTCAAGACCAGTGTAATCTTCGTCATCAGGAGCAGGAGTGGCCGACCGCAGCGGAGTTAGCTGAGGAGACGTCGAACCCGAAGGAAGGGGTTGTCCAACGGCCGGGTGAGATGGAGGCGACAGTTCCAGCAATGATTAGGGAAAGGCAGATCAAAACGTGCTCGGCCAGAACGGCACCGGCTGCCGACTAACAGAGCACGGGACGACTGTGGTGAAGTGGTCAAAGGAAATCCTGATTAATCGCCTTGATCACCCCGTAAGTGCATGTGGGACCGGTCATGACGGTCTTGGGACTGACCGCTACAGAAATTCCCAACGATAAGCTGGACGGTTTGCAAGTCATCAGTGGCGGTCACAGATTATGACCACCGGTTAGGGTCACGACGAATGACTGACCGGTCATGGTCACTATGGGCGACCAGTGGTCATAATCATGATGAGTGACCAGTGGTCACGGTCATGATGGGCGACCGTGGTCATAATCATGATGAGTGACCAGTGGTCATGGTCACGATGGGTGACCAGTGGTTATGGTCACGATGGGTGACCAGTGGTCGTCGTCAAAATGGGTGACCAGTGGTCACGGTCACTGCAAGATGACCAGCGGTCATGCTGGCAGTTAAGGTGGTTTATTTCATGCACAAGGAATGGGTGGTGGCAGGCGAACAACGTAGTAGAAAACTGAGATAAAGAGAAGTGTAAACGTAGTTCTAGCCCCTACTAGGTTAATGACGAACAGTATTGATTTTCCTACAAAAGACACGAGTCAGCATTCCTCCGGGCTGGAATACTAGTGGCCACCCGACGTACAAGGTTTACTGTCTGCGTGTTTGCTCAAGGTTTGTCCCTAGATTGCTTGGCTAGGGACAAGTATGCTCATTCAAGTTAGCCCGCGATCGGACGCGGCAAGCATATAAGGCAAGGTCTTCAGACGGCTCTAGTGATCAGAAGGACAAGTTGATCAAGTGGTCAGAAGAACAAGGGGGATCAAGTATCCACACTTGGGCAAGGCGACCTCAAGATAGGTCAGGCAACTCTAGGATAGTGCCACCATTAACCGTTGGTCGTGTGAAGAATTACCACGCGACCACACCCCACCTATCCTCAACTCGGCCAAGACAAGACACCGACCTCAAGACACCTAGAAGAGTGCAACCGCCCGCCGACGCGTACACAAGGTGAGAGGGAACAAGACAAGACACACGGTCCGGAGTACCCCCTCCGTTAGTCGGTCGTCCGGGCACAAGTGGGGAGTCAGGATTGCTACGTAAATGATCGAATCTCACTCCACCACATAGTCGATGCCATATTTCTGCTTTAACCCGTTTTCCACGAGAATAGCCTTGTATTTCTCGATGAATCCATCAGCTTTCCGCTTGATCTTGAATGCCCAGGGTTGGTGCCAATGGTATGCTGTCCATCTGGCAGTTTGGTCGCTCGAAACAAGCCACGAAGTTTCATCCCGTCCAACTCGGCACAGATTGCTTTACACCAATGCACTTGTTCCGGTCCACCAACAGCATCTTCAAACGTTGTCGGCTCGGAAATGTCAGTACCTTCGACTGCGTTGGCACTCGCTCGCCAAAAGTCTTAATGTATAGCATCCTCGTTATCTTCGTCACTGCCCTTTCGCTCTCCGTCCAGATTGGCTCGAGCGTTTGACCGTCGCTTCGCTTGGTGCGATTCAAAGTCATCCGGGGCACTTGCTTCTTCTAACCCGGTTCCACGACGCTCAGGAAGTATCCGTTGTAGAGCTTGTTCTTGGCTGTCTGAACGACTTTTGCGTTTTCCAGTTTGCTTGAACTGCATAGGGTGAGGCTCATCGCTGATGTTCATCGATTCGATATCCAGCGCAGTGTCATCAACAATTTCTTGTGGTAGCTTGTGCGAGAAACCAAACGTTGATTCGTCGAATGTGACATCGCGAGATATCACCACTTGGTCCGCTTCAATGTCGTAAACGCGATATGCCTTTGACACTTCTTCGTACCACATGAATAGTCCTTCGCGAGCCTTCGGATCCCATTTCGATCTCTTTTCCTCAGGGGTCAGCACAAACGTTCGGCAGCCGAAAATCCGCATGTGCTTCACACTTGGTCGAAAATTCGTTGACGATCTCGAACGGGGTTTGATCTTGGTACTTAAGCGATGGTAGACGATTCTTGATGTAGATCGCCGTCATTGATGCTTCAGCCCAAAAACACTCGTCCAGCTTGGCGTAGTGAAGGATGCTGCGGCCGATCGTCACAATGGTCCGAATTGCCCGCTCCGCCGTGCCGTTGATCTGATGCGCATACGGAACGGTAACCTGCTGCTCGATTCCTTGATCATCGTAAAATGCCTTGAGCGAATTCGCCGCAAATTTGTGTGCACCATCGTGTCGAACGAACTTGACCTTGAAGTTAAACTGCCTCTGTAATGCCATGATGTACTTCTTGATGCACTCTTCTCTGTCGGATTTGGCGCGCAGACTGAAACCCTTCATGCATCCGCTGCCTTCATCGACGATCAGAAGTGAGTATCGGCTTCCGCCCAGCGAGTCGACTTCCATCGGTCCACAAGTGTCGATGTGCAGGAGCTCAAACGGGTCATACTGGCGCTTGTTTGGATTGCTTGGGAACGGTCGTTGAACCATCTTTCCTTCTTGACAACCGCGATAAACGCTTGATCCGCTCAATTTTGTTGGTATCTCGACGTCCTTGATCATGCCCTTGGAGACCATCCTGCACAAGACATCAACCGGTGCGTGGCCCATACGCGCATGAAGTTTTCCGACTCTTGGTCCTGAAGCCGCGCTCACGGATCTTTGGGATGTACGAAGCCAGTAGAGGCCATCCACAACATCGGCCATCGCCATTACTTTCTTGGAGTCTTTGTGCGAAATCTTCATCTCGTCACCATCAAACACCACTTGAAACTTGCCGCTTTTGTTGATCTGAGGTATCGACCGTAGTTTCTCGTTCATGCTCGGGACATTAAGTGCGTCCTTGATTTCCACTTCGCGCTCTTCACCGTTTAATGAGACTACCTTTTCGACGAAGTCCCAACTCCATTGATCGCTGCCTTGTTTCCGTCTGCAACTAGCACTTTGCCTTCGTTGCGCTCGTCCAGAACTTCAAACTTGGACTTGTCATAGCAGATGTGGTGCGTTGCACCGCTGTCAATCGACCACATTCCCACCATGGTCTTGGTCGTCGAAAGTTCGAATTTCCAGCGAAACAGCAAACGCCACTCGATCATGATCGTAGTTGTTGCCGTTGCTGTTGTAGCCCTGCCATTAGACTTGATTTGCTCCGCGTCCACGAGCATTGTTGCCGGTGCGTCGAGCTCCTCGGTTGTCTTCCTTCTGCTTGGTTCCACCGTGTGCCCCAATTTTCCGCAGAACGTACATTGACGGAATTCACGCTCGGTGATGAAGACATTTGTCGCTTCTTCAGTCACCACCGATGTCGTCTTGTCACCTTGCCTCTTTATATGATCATTCATGAGCACTCTCACGACGTCTCGTGACCGCAGTTCCGCGCTGCTCATCTCCAAGTTTAACACGACATTCTTGCAGCTCTTAATGAGACTGCGCAACAAGCAGATATCCACGTCCTCTTCGTCCATCTTAGCGACGATGCTGCTAATCTTGGCGCTGACGTTGAGAACTTCATTGCAATGATTCATTACATTGCCGCCTTCCGCCATCTCCATGCTGAAGAGCTGTCGCTTCAAGAAGATCCGTCCCGCCTTCTGCGATCCGCCGTAGAGAGTCTTCAACCGTGTCCACGCAACCCATGCCTCGTCGCAGGCATCAACCACGTGATGATAGTCCGCGCTCATGTGAAGTAACATCAAGCCGAACGCAATGTTTTTCATCTTGACGTACTCATCACTGGCTCGAGGATCGGCGAAGGTGGGGGTGGTCTCCCGGTTGACCACGTGCCACGTCGACTTGGTCAGGAACACGCCACGCATGTAGCGGCTCCACATCGCGTAGTTGTCTCCATCGAATCTATCGATAGAGACCTTGGTGGCGGAATCTTGAGAAGAGGACATCGTGCTTGGGATCATAACCTGTTAAGATGTAACTAGCACTGGGCGAGAGAACGAAGCTTGAAGAGCTTGAAAGAATTCTCCACTGCGAAGTGGAGACGACTTGTGTAGGAGAAGGAATATTTGGAAGTGAATTAATTTGTGGGTCTTTGTTAAAGCTGCCTGAATTATCTGTGTCCTGATTTATATGTTGTCCACAAATAAATCAAGAATCATAAATCGTGTAGGTCATCCAATCATTATATGCGTCTAATCATGGGTAAAAACTCACCGTAATTACGCGAGATCGACTTAAACAGGTTTTCGGTTTCCACGGCAACTGACAACGATAACAGTACCTCAACCGTTAACCCACAATGCTCCCATTCAATGAGAACACGCGTGTATGCCAAGCGCTGCCGTCAAGTCCTTGTGACGCGGTCCTGGCGGTCCCTTCGTCATGATGTCCGCCAACATAGTCGTAGTCTCACAGTACTCCAACGTGACATCACTACGCTTGACTACATCACGAATGTGATGGTACTTGATGTCGATGTGCTTGGCCCGACCATGGTTCACAGGTTTCTTCGTCATCTTGATGCACGATTAACTATCTATTATGATCTTGAGCTCGGGTCCGGACTTGTCCTATGCGGCATTCAGAATCTCGCACAGCAATCGATGCACCCAATTGCCTTCTTAAATCGCCAGACTTAGTGCAACGTGCTCAGCTTCACTTGTTGACAGCGACACACTTGACTGCCTTTTGCTTCCCCAGCTCACCGGAGCACTTATCAGGATGAACGCATATCCCGAAGTCGACTTGCGGTTTGCACGGTCGTCGGCCCAGTCTGCATCCGAGTCGCCGCAGAAGTCTATCTTGTCATCAGATTTGAAACAGATACCGTGCGACTTAGTCCCTTGTAAGTATCGCAAAATGCGTTTGACCGCCATCCAATGCTCGACTTGGGGTCTTTTCCATGAAGCGCAAAACGTCTCACAGCAAAGGCAATGTCCGGTCGTGTCGCGGTCATCAAGTGCATTGAAGCGCCTACTGCTTCACGAAACGGGGTGTCGATTGTGGTTGCTGCGGTGCTTGGTATGAGTCGAGAACTGATGTCTGTTGGGCTGGTGACGGCTTTGCAGTCGCTCATGCCAAAACGCTTGAGAACATCTTCCACGTAGCGTCGCCGGCACATCGTCACGCTACCGTTGTCGTGGTCCACCAGCTCGATGCCCAACACGAATGCGCACTTGCCGCTGTCAGTCATTTCGAAACGCGCCTTTAAGTCACTCTTGGTGCGCATGATCAGTTCAGTCGAGCTGCCAGTCACCAGCACATCATTGCGTATACCAGCAAAAGCACGCACTCGCCACTTGTAATCTTGAGATAAAGACACGGGTCAAAATCGGATACTGGAAATCCAGTGGAGCAGACGAACTCATGGAAAGTCTCGTTCCATACACGCGATGCTTGTTTTAGTCCGTAGATCGCTTTGACCAGTTCAGAGCAGTCAAAGTCTTCATCAACTTCGACCCCTTCCGGGATCGCGCAGAATACCTTTTCCTTCATTTCTCCGTATAGGAAAGCTATCACGACGTCCAGTTGGTCCAGTGCCCAGTCAAACTACTTCGTGATTGCAACTACCATGCGCAGCGTCACGTTCTTGACTACCGGCGAAAACGTCTCCGTGTAGTCGATGCCATATTTCAGCTTGAAACCTTTTGCCACAAGACGCGCCTTTTATTTTTCGATGGATCCATCAGCTTTCCGTTTGATCTTGAATGCCCAGGGTTGATGCAAATGGTATGCTGTCCATCTGGCAGTTTGGTCGCTCAAAACACGCCACGAAGTTTTATCCCGTCCAACTCGGCACAGATTGCTTTACGCCAATGCACTTGATCTGGTCCACCAACAGCATCTTCAAACGTTGTCGGCTCGGAAATGTCAGTACCTTCGACTGCGTTGGCACTCGCTCGCCAAAAGACTTAATGTATAGCATCCTCGTTATCTTCGTCACTGCCCTTTCGCTCTTCGTCCAGATTGGCTCGAGCGTTTGACCGTCGCTTCGCTTGGTGCGATTCAAAGTCATCCGGGGCACTTGCTTCTTCTAACCCGGTTCCACGACGCTCAGGAAGTATCCGTTGTAGAACTTGTTCTTGGCTGTCTGAACGACTTTTGCGTTTTCCAGTTTGCTTGAACTGCATAGGGTGAGGCTCATCGCTGATGTTCATCGATTCGATATCCAGCGCAGTGTCATCAACAATTTCTTGTGGTAGCTTCTGCGAGAAACCAAACGTTGATTCGTCGAATGTGACATCGCGAGATATCACCACTTGGTCCGCTTCAATGTCGTAAACGCGATATGCCTTTGACACTTCTTCGTACCACATGAATAGTCCTTCGCGAGCCTTCGGATCTCATTTCGATCTCTTTTCCTCAGGGGTCAGCACAAACGTTCGGCAGCCGAAAATCCGCATGTGCTTCACACTTGGTCGAAAATTCGTTGACGATCTCGAACGGGGTTTGATCTTGGTACTTGGGTGAAGGCAGACGATTCTTAATGCAGATCGCCGTCATTGCTGCTTCAGCCCAAAAAACTTATATATCTTGGTATGGTGAAGGATGCTGCGGCCTATCGTCACAATGGTTCGAATTGCCCGCTCCGCCGTGCCGTTGATCTGATGCGCATACGGAACGGTAACTTGCTGCTCGATTCCTTGATCGTCGTAGAATGCCTTGAGCGATGCTGTCAAGAATATTCGTGCACCATCATGTCGATATGAACTAGACCTTGTATTCAAATTGTGTCTGCACCGCAGCGATGTACTTCTTGATGCACGCTTCTCTGTCGGATTCGGCGCGCAGGCTGAAACCTTTCATACATCCACTGCCTTCATCGACGATCAGAAGTGAGTATCGGCTTCCGCCCAGCGAGTCGACTTCCATCGGTCCACAAGTGTCGATGTGCAGGAGCTCAAACGGGTCATACTGGCGCTTGTTTGGATTGCTTGGGAACGGTCGTTGAACCATCTTTCCTTCTTGACAACCGCGATAAACGCTTGATCCGCTCAATTTTGTTGGCATCCCGACGTCCTTGATCATGCCCTTGGAGACCATCCTGCACAAGACATCAACCGGTGCGTGGCCCATACGCGCATGAAGTTTTCCGACTCTTGGTCCTGAAGCCGCGCTCACGGATCTTTGGGATGTACGAAGCCAGTAGAGGCCATCCACAAGATCGGCCATCGCCATTACTTGCTTGGAGCCTTTGTGCGAAATCTTCATTTCTTCAACATCAAACACCACTTGAAACTTGCCGCTTTTGTTGATCTGAGGTATCGACCGTAGTTTCTTGTTCATGCTCGGGACATTAAGTGCGTCCTTGATTTCCACTTCGCGCTCTTCACCGTTTAATGAGACTACCTTTTCGACGAAGTCCCAACTCCATTGATCGCTGCCTTGTTTCCGTCTGCAACTAGCACTTTGCCTTCGTTGCGCTCGTCCAGAACTTCAAACTTGGACTTGTCATAGCAGATGTGGTGCGTTGCACCGCTGTCAATCGACCACATTCCCACCATGGTCTTGGTCGTCGAAAGTTCGAATTTCCAGCGAAACAGCAAACGCCACTCGGTCATGATCGTAGTTGTTGCCGTTGCTGTTGTAGCCCTGCCATTAGACTTGATTTGCTCCGCGTCCACGAGCATTGTTGCCGGTGCGTCGAGCTCCTCGGTTGTCTTCCTTCTGCTTGGTTCCACCGTGTGCCCCAATTTTCCGCAGAACGTACATTGACGGAATTCACGCTCGGTGATGAAGACATTTGTCGCTTCTTCAGTCACCACCGATGTCGTCTTGTCACCTTGCCTCTTTATATGATCATTCATGAGCACTCTCACGACGTCTCGCGAACGCAGTTCCGCGCTACTCATCTCCAAGTTTAACACAACATTCTTGTAGCTCTTAATGAGACTGCGCAACAAGCAGATATCCACGTCCTCTTCGTCCATCTTAGCGACGATGCTGCTAATCTTGGCGCTGACGTTGAGAACGTCATTGCAATGATGCATTACATTGCTGTCTTCCTCCATCGATATGCTGAACAGATGCCTCTTCAAGAAGATCCGTCCCGCCTTCTGAGATCCGCCATAGAGAGTCTTCAACCGCGCCCACGCAACCCATGCCTCCTCGCAGTCATCAACCACGTGATGATAGTCCGCGCTCATGTAAAGTAACATCAAGCCGAACGCAATGTTTTTCATCTTGACGTACTCATCACTGGCGCGAGGATCGGTGAAGGTGGGGGTGGTCTCCCGGTTGACCACGTGCCACGTCGACTTGGTCAGGAACACGCCACGCATGTAGCGGCTCCACGTCGCGTAGTTGTCTCCATCGAATCTATCGATAGAGACCTTGGTGGCGGAATCTTGAGAAGAGGACATCGTGCTTGGGATCATAACCTGTTAAGATGTAACTAGCACTGGGCGAGAAAACGAAGCTTGAAGAGCTTGAAAGAATTCTCCACTGCGAAGTGGAGACGACTTGTGTAGGAGAAGGAATATTTGGAAGTGAATTAATTTGTGGGTCTTTGTTAAAGCTGCCTGAATTATCTGTGTCCTGATTTATATGTTGTCCACAAATAAATCAAGAATCATAAATCGTGTAGGTCATCCAATCATTATATGCGTCTAATCATGGGTAAAAACTCACCGTAATTACGCGGGATCGACTTAAACAAGTTTACGGTTTCCACGGCAACTGACAACGATAACAGAACATAATCGTCAACCCATTATAAATTCTCTCTCGATCTCGCTACTTCTTCCGTTTTCGGCTAAAAATTGATGACTGATGGTGTGCTCGACCTGGTGGATGTCCCTAGTTTATGTGAGTATATTGATTTGATCAGGTCATAATTATCACGATTAAGCAAAAAGTGATCAAAGTGCCCATTCTCATCCTTTTCATTCTTCTTATATTACACATGTGCTGACCGGGCGTAACCAGTTAGCCGTATCGAGAATTTGCATGCGTTCCCTGTTTCTTAGCGCTTCGATAATTATTACTTTGAACTGGCTGGTTGGTTTCCACATACACATTCCAGGACAATATTACTTTATGGTAGCCGAGCTGAGTAAATTTTTATGTTCGCTGTGTCTTCCTTGGAAGGTGCTAGAGCCAATTCTTTGCTGCTTTTTTGAAACTTGTCAAAATTCGTTCACACCACTCATTTCATGTCAGCATGCCCCTATCATCTAATACGTGATCTGCTTGATCTATGAAAGCTCATGATCTGACCGGTAGCTTTTCCATCGAACATAAGAAAATGGAGGTGTCGGTGTGATCTAATTTTCATCGCATGTTTTCTTCCACTTCATTTCTCTTCACAACTTAGTCGTCAAATGTAGTCGTCTATCAAATTACTGACTTGTTGACGGTCCTTTTTTATACCAATATTGGTAACCGTGACCGGTTCAATCCGAACCGCCTACTCAGCTTAGTATTTACGACGTTGTTCTTACGGTAATTACCATAGTTGGATAAGACGCGTAGGATGATGAGACGCTTCACATGATTTATGTGCACCACATATAAATCATGTAGTAAGTAGTAACCCCCGATAATTAATCACTTTGAATCTTCCAACTAGTGAGCAAGTGTCTTCTGCTCTGCTCTCTTCAACCTCTCCGCTCCTTTCGCTTTGCTCTCTACAATGCAACAGGTTATAAGCCCAAGCGCCATGTCGTCAATTACCAACGCATCATCCAACGCCTCCATTGATAAGTTCAATGGAGACAACTATGCGATTTCGAGTCAATACATGCGCAGTGTTTTTTTGACGAAGCCCGTCTGGTACGTCATAAACCGTGAAGCGACTCCGACTTTTACCGACCCGCGAGCGTCCGATGACTACGTCAAGGCGAGCAACGTCGCATTTGGTACGATGCTGCTGCACACAAATGCGGACTACCACCATGTGATCGAAAATTACGAGGAAGCGTGGGTTGCGTGGACAAGTCTGGAAGACGCTGTACGGTGGGTCGCAAAAGGCTGGACGCATCTTCCTCAAGCGACAAATTTTCAGCACCAAGATGGTTGACGGCGCGAACGTGATGCACCACTGCAACGAGGTCCTCAACATCTCCGCTAAGCTTAGCGGGATCGGTGCGAAGCTGGAAGACGAAGACGTTGCGATTTGTCTGCTACTCAGTCTTCCGAAGAGCTATGAAAATGTGGTACTCAACATGGAAATGAGCAGCGCCGAGCTTCGTAACCAGGATAAGGTGAGAGTGCTGACGAATGAGCACGCCAAGCGTCAAGGAGATAAAGGGACAACAAAAGCGACTACGGTGAAAGATGAAGACGCAAGCAAGGCATTTAGCACAGAAAGTGAGTCCTGCCAATATACGTATTGTGGCAAGGTGGGACACACGGTGGATTGTTGCTGGAAAAAGCAGAAGAACGAAGGTCAAGGGTCCGACACGGCGGTAATGAGTGTGGACGCGGGGCCAATAACACCCCGTGTGGACATTATGATGAAGGAAATGGCTACGATCGAGTGGCGTTTACACCCTCGTTCGAATGTGGAGTTTCGACGAGCAAGGACGTGTCTGGAATGTGGGCCATCGATAGTGGCGTAACGCATCACATTTGCCACGACAATACCAAGTTTGCAAGTTTGGCAGAGCGCAATGAGGGCGAACTCTTGGTGGCTGATGGCAACAAGGTGGCCATCAAGGGTGTGGGAACCATCATGGAAAAGGTGGTTCTAACCAACGGTGAAGAGCGCGAGATCGGAATCAAGAACGCGCTATATGTTCCAAATATGAGCAAGAACCTGCTTTCGGTGCCACAGATCCACAGGCATGGCAAGTTTTAAGTCGTGTTTGACGGGTCCAAGATGTATGTGACTCTCAAGAACTCACAGCAAGTGGTGGCGACAGCGGATCTTGTGGATGGACTTTACTGGCTTCGTAAGACTCAGCGATCAGCAAATGTGACAACAAGTGGAACCAGCTGTGCTAATCTACGTGCGCGAATGGGTCACGCTCCATTCGATGTACTTCGCAAGATGATCGCGACCAGCATGATCAAGGATGTGCGAGTCCCTCTTTAGTCGAATGGAGCAACTGCAAGCCGAGGGTGCCAACAAGGTAAAATGGTCCAAAAACCATTCTCAAGCAACCGCGACAAGCGTAACTACTATACGTTCGAGCTGCTTCATCTGGATATCTGTGGGATCATGGAAATCGAATCGCTCGGTGGCAACAGATATCTGCTACTGATCGTAGACAAAGCCAGTGGGTGTATGAGGGGCTTTGCTCACGAGTGAAGTCCGAGAGTGAAGACTACATCCGAAAGTACATCAGTATGGTACAGACGCAGTTCAGTAAAAAAGTTAAGTTTGTGCGACACGACGGAGCTCGCGAGTTTGCAACCAACTCGCTTCAACTGTTCTACGAAGACGAAGGCATTGAACAGCAGACAACGGTGCCGTATGCACATCAAACAAACGGAACAGCAGAGCGTGCCATTAGGACTATTGTCACGATCGGCCGCAGCATGTTTCATCATGCTAAGCTGGACAAGTGTTTCCGGGCTGAAGCAGCAGTGACGGCCATCTACGTCAAGAATCGACTGCCGTCACCTGAAGTCGTGCACAAGACCCCGTTTGAGATCGTCTACAACTCGAAACCAAGCGTCAAGCACATGCGAGCATTCGGGTTTCAGACGTACATACTGACGCCGAAAGAAAGTCGTCTCAAGTGGGATCCAAAGGCTCGCGCTGGGATATTCTTGGGCTACGAAGAAGCATCCAAAGCGTACCGCGTTTATGACATCGAGGCGGGGCAGGTGGTTATCATTCGCGATGTCAACTTTGACGAGTTCACCTTTGGACTTTTGCCGCCGATCACTGATGAAGATACCGATGGCCTTGACTTAGCCTCCATCGAGCTGGATGATGAAGCGCCGGGTCAAGCGTAGTACAATCAAACACGCAAGCGCAAGAGTCGTCCTAATGATGAAGAAGTACCATCTCCACCAACGCACACGGTGCGTCAACGGCCTGGGCTAGAAGAATCGAGTGCGCCAAATAACCACGTGGCCCACCAAGAAGAAGGGGAAGAAACGAAGAATGCTGATGCATCGACTCCACCTTCATTTTGGCGTGCGAGTGCGAACGCCATCAAAATAGCAGCGGACTTATCGGAGCCCTCAACACTTGAGGCAGCAGTAAGCGGCCCTGACCAAGTGCACTGGAGAAAAGCAATTCATGCAGAGCTCGAGTCAATGCGACTTCGCGGTGTGTTTCGTGCAGCCAAGCTGCCCAACGGACAACGCGCCATTGGCACAAAATGGGTGTTCAAGATCAAGCTCAAGGCGCATAGGTCAATCGAGAAGTACAAGGAGCGACTTGTGGCCAAGTTTTTTCCGTTAAAAGTGTGGCATCGACCCACGGAGACTGTTTCGCCCGTCGCCCGTGGTCTAGTATGTGACGCTGCGAAAGGTGATCGCAATTTCCAAGCATTTTGGATGGCCCATCGACCAGATTGAGGTGGTGACGGCTTTCCTACATGGCATCATGAATAAAACAAGTGGTCTATGTGATTCCTGTAGGCGTTGAACTTGATAGTACTTTTGACTGCCTAGAATTGGTGAAGTCAATTTACGGCCTCAAGCAAGTGTCGCGAGTGTGGAACGAGACGTTTGACAAGTTGGTGTGCTCCATTGGAATTCAAGAATCGGACTTCGGCCCATGTCTCTACATCAAGATTTCGGACGGCCATTGTGTGCTTGTACTGGTCTACGTGGACGACGTTTTGGTGACTGGAAGATCGCTCGAGCTAATTGCACGAACCAAGAACGATCTGAAGACGCATTTCGAGATGACATACAGTGGCAAGTGTTCATTTGCTCTAGTATAGAGCTTTTGGACGGTGAAGATGGCAGTGTGACACTATGTCAGCGTCGGTATGTCGATGATATCCTCAAGCGCTTTGGAATGGAGAAGTGCAAGGCTGTGGCGAGTCCTGTGGATGTCAGCTCTCGACTGGTGTCAAGCAACGCTCCTAGCAAGGTCGATGTTCCATTCAGTGAAGCTGTTGGTGCTTTGATGCATCTGACGACTGCAACACGACCGGAAATCGCCTATGCTGTGAGCTTTGTGTCGCGCTTCATGAAGAATCCCCAAGAAGAACACTGAGTTGCGTTCAAGCGCATCTTTCGCTACCTACAAGGCACCAAGATGCATGGAATTTGCTACAAGTCACGTTTAAAGACTTTCGTGGCTATTCGGACGCAGAATGGGCCGGCGACCTTACTGATCGCACGTCAACGTCTGGTTTCGTTTTCATGCTGTTGGGTACTCCAATGAGTTGGGAAAGAAAGTAGCAGCCAAGTATGTCACTGACTACAAGTGAAGCGGAGTACGTTGCGCTAAGTCTGGAGATTCAAGAAGGCAAGTGGATCCACCGATCACTATGCGAGATCATGGCGGCTGCTAACGAGGACGGACTCGAGCTCATGATCCGCAAATTCAAACAGCTCTGCATCAAAATGACCAAGGATCCAGTCAATCACGGCCGCGCCGGACACATTGATATCAAGTATTATCGTATTCGCGATGAGGTCAAGCGGGGTGAAGTGAAGCTTGAATACTGCGAGACGACGGAGATACTGGTAAACATTATGACCAAGGGACTTCACGAACCACGCCACAAGGACTTAACGGCGGCGCTAGGCATCTGTCCGCGTTCGGTTTGAGGGGGCGTGTTAAAGGATACCGTAACAACCCGACTTTAAAGATGTAGTTCTTACGGGATAGTTTTTACATCGGTGATTACGCAGAAATGATTAGACGAGCAGGGTGATCAGACGCGCCGACTGATTTAAATGTGGCACATAAAAATCAGGGCGTAGGCAGATAAGCTCCTATAATCAATCACTTTCCAATCATCCATCTACAATCAAAGTGTCTTCTCCGGTCTTCCAAGTGGATTCCTCAAGCATCCTTTCCAGTTCCAGTAATCAAGCTTCGTACATTCCAACAGGTTATGAGCACAAGTGCTCGCTGCAGACATCTCACCAAGGACCAAACTTGTGCGAGGGACACCCCGCCAGAGAAGGCGCTCGGTGCACAAGTAAGGCGCCGAAGAATTATTCAACAGGGATCGTTGACGGTGCGCGTGTAGTCGAGAAGGGTTTGTGCAAGGGTAGTGACGCGAGATGGTCTGAATGCGCGAGTGCTATCGTAGAAATACTCAAGTTAAGTGGTGACGAATATATTTGTGGTCAAGAAGAAGCGGAAACTACATAAAAGGCGAACGATGACTACGAGCGGTCAAGATGTGACGTGGTGCTGGACGATGGGGGAGCCTAAATACTCGGAACGCTCGATACCACAGAGGTTGGCTTGAGCGCAGGGGCAAGCCTTAATCACGATTTCCATGGAGCGCGGATCAGCAGTGATAATTATAGGCGGGTCGATACCCAAGTGGTCTGTACCTCATGTCGTCGCGGGGGAGTGCTGGAAGTGCATGATGCACTGGTTTTGACTCCAGAGATTCGACCCATGATAGGGCATGTGTAGGATGTTATGTGGGGTTCCATGCATTATAATAGGTCGTACGGCAGCTAGATGTATGGATAGTTCTCACTTGTCGACTGACAAACCACTAATAAGGCCCCCGGCGGGAAGTAAAATACTTCTGGTGCGCGGTAATAGTAGAAATCGTTTATTTACATGACTTCTACTCTTAATAGTGACCGGTTTAATCCGAACCGCCTACTCAGCTTAGTATTTACGACGTTGTTCTTACGGTAATTACCATAGTTGGATAAGACGCGTAGGATGGTGAGACGCTTCACATGATTTATATGTGCACCACATATAAATCATGTTGTAAGTAGCAACTTCCGATAATTAATCACTTTGAATCTTCCAACTAGTGAGCAAGTGTCTTCTGCTCTGCTCTCTTCAGCCTCTCCGCTCCCTTCGCTTAGCTCTATGCCATGCAACATGATTTTGTAATACATGTCCCAATGGGCTCATTAAATTTTACACCTAACAGCTGTTGTATCACATCTCCTCTTAATTTTAAATTTCGTCGTACTCTACTTGGCAGTGAATCCATCGAGATTACCTCATGCAAGACCTTAAAATAAAACGATATTAAACTCGGGATCTAATACCCCTTGTTTTACCTCAGCATATGTGGTTATGCGAAGCGCGATGCTTACTTATTCTTGACATCCAGGCATCATATGCGTATGCCAGACTCTCATTCTGTACTGGTTTTTTGGGGGGCTTTATTAACCCATATCTCAGTCTTCTTGCAACATCGAGGACTTGTCCTACGAGTGCTTGAACCCGAAACAACACCAAACTCATTCCTCAATTGTCGGTTTCCAGGCGGAGCTTAAACACGCGAAGGGAACTCTCATGTGAAGATCGAAAATAAGACATCGAAGCGGAGTAATAAAAATTCGAAACGGATTGATTTATCGGACCTCTTCCGCTCTGCACTCTAATTAACATGTGGTTATTGAAGGTTACCGCAACAACCCGACCTTAAAGATGCAGTTCTTACAGGATAGGTTTTACGTAAGTAACTACGCAGGAGTGATTAGACTAGCAGGCTGATCAGACGCGCCGACTGATTTATATGTGGCACATAAAAATCAGGGCGTAGGCAGATAAGCTCCTACAATCAATCACTTTCTAATCTTCCATCTACAGCCCAAGTGTCTTCTCCGGTCTTCCAAGTGGATTCCTCAAGCATCCTTCGTAGATTCGATTATCAATCTTCGCACATTCCGACAGGTATGAGTCCAAGCACGATGCCCACTGCCCAAAATGAGGCTGCCGAGATCTCCATCGAAAAGTTCGACGGAGACAGCTACGCGACATGGAGCCGCTACATGAGTGGCGAGTTCCTGACCAAGTCGACGTGGCACGTGGTGAACCGGGAGACGTCGCCGACCTACGCGGACGATCGCATTATGGACGACTACGTCAAGGTTACCAACATCGCGTTCGGACTGACGTTGCTGCACATGAACGCCGACTACCATCACATCGTCGACGTTTGTGAGGAGGCGTGGGTCGCGTAGGCACGGTTGAAGACTCTATACGGCGGATCTTATAAGGCGGGATGGATCCTCTTGAAGAGACAGCTGTTTAGCATAGAGATGGAGGAAGGCGGCAATGTGATGCATCATTGCAATGACTAGGTCAACACCAGCTCGAATCTAAGCAGCATCGGCGCCAAGATGGAGGACGAGGACGGGGATATCTGCTTGTTGCGCAGTCAACTCAAGAGCTACGAGAATGTAGTGTTAAACTTGCGATGAGCAGCGCGCAACTGCGTTCGCGAGACGTCATGAGAGTGCTCACGAATGAGCACATCAAGAGGCAGGGTGACAAGACGACATCGGTGAAGACTGAAGACGTGGCAAAGGCGTTCAGTGCTGAGCGTGAACCTCGCTGGTGTACGTACTGCGGAAAATTGGGCCACACGACGAAGCGGTGCTGGACCAAGCAAAAGGACGAAAATCAAGGAGGATCTCGACGCGGCAACAACAATGCTCATGGACGCGGAGCCAACAACATTCAGTGGCGAGCCAACAGCAATTAAGACGATGACTTAGATCGAGTTGCTTTTGTGATTTTGCTGGAGGCTGGACTTTCAACGGGCAAGAATGAGCCAGAGATGTGGACGGTCGACAGCGGTGCGACGCATCACATCTGCAACGACAAGGCCAAGTTAACAAGCCTGAATGAGTGAGAGGAAAGCGAACGATCGGTGGCCGATGGCAGCAAGGCTGCAATCCAGGGTGTGGGAACTGTTGGTATGCACGAAGCTTGATTACCGGAACTGGAAAGGATGCTTGAGGAATCCACTTGGAAGACCGGAGAAGACACTTGGTCTGTAGATGGAAGATTAGAAAGTGATTGATTGTAGGAGCTTATCTGCCTACGCCCTGATTTTTATGTGCCACATTTAAATCAGTCGGCGCGTCTGATCACCCTGCTCGTCTAATCATTCCTGCGTAGTTACTCACGTAAAACCTATCCTGTAAGAACTGCACCTTATAGTTCGGGTTGTTACGTTAACCTTTAACACGCCCCCTCAATCCGAACTCGCACAGATGCCTAGCGCCGCCGTTAAGTCCTTGTGACGAGTTCCCTCAAGTCCCTTGGTAAGGATATCCGCCATCATCACGGAAGTCTCGCAAAATTCTAGCTCCACTTCACCGCGCTCGACGTCGTCACGGATGTGATGCTACTTGATGTCGATATTCTTGTCGCGGCCATAGTCACTGGATTCTTCGTCATCTAGATGCACGACCGGTTGTCTTCACGGATGACAAGGTTCGGTTCTGACTCGTTTGCGGCCGCTAAAATCTCGCATAGCTGGCGGTGGATCTACTTGCATTCCTGGATGGCAAAACTTAGTGCGATGAACTCCGCTTCACTCGTCGACAGCGACACACTTGACTGCTTCTTGCTTCCCCAACTCACAGGAGCACCCATCAGCATGAAAGTGTAACCCGAAGTCGACTTGCGATCAGCGTGGTCGCCGGCCCAGTCCGCGTCCGAGCAGCCACGAAAGTCAATCTTGTCGCTTGGCTGGAAGCGAATTCCATGCGACTTGGTCCCTTGCAAGTAACGAAAGATGCGCTTCACCGCCGTCCAATGTTCTTGCTGTGGATTCTCCATAAAGCGTAAGACGTATGAGGTAAAGTCACTAATTTAATGATGGGACGTGGATCGGTGTCCACCCAGTTAAGACGTCACTCCCTGGCAGAAAATGATGCCAAGGGACCTGGCGATCCAATAAGGAGGTGGAAGGTGATCCCAACGGATAAAAAAGATCCGCTTTAACTGTCGTCAGACTGATGGGTATGGAACGATTTAAGATGGGGCGTAAAGAGGGGTGATTTCCACGGTGCGATCTGGGACGAGGGACTGGAACGAACCAAACGAACGCTCTGAAGGCTGATCAAAGACAAGGATGTGGATGTTGAAGCAGAATCATTTGAGAAAAGGTGCGTTTGGGACCAAACGATGCGACGTGATTTGAGACGGGGCGTAGAGAGGGGTGATTTCCACGGTGCGATCTGGGACGAGGGACTGGTTTGAACCAAACGACCGCTCTGAAGGCTGATCAAAGGCAAGGATGTGATGTTGAAGCAGAATAATTCTGAGAAAGGCATGGGAGTACGCACAATGAACGGAAGAACAGATATGGCCGGATGCACTGTGTCGATCCATAACAATCTCGAATTGGACATCAGATCGGTCATGTTCCCTGGTGATTATAGATATATCGATGATGGAGCTATTGGATCATGATAAACATGCTTGTTAAAGGTCCATGAGTGATGTCTTAAAAGTTCAGATCGAAGGAGCCAGTGGAAGTCGGTTGAATTGACGTCACAAAATGGATTTAGATACGTTCGGCATTTGGAGACTATTTTGGACTTTTCGGTACCAAATTTGGTATTTGGTACCATATTTGTAATTTGGTCCTCTTTTGGTGTCTAGGTATGATACCGGGAGTGTTGGCGCTATCTTTGGAGTACAGGTCGCGAAATTTAGACACGTGTTCAAGGTGGCGGTCAAGCTTAAAGATGATGTCGGTTTGGAGAGTGACCTACGGTTAGGAATAGGCTAAAGACAGGTTGGCTAGTATTTTGGTTGGTTAATAAACAGACTTGACCTCTACTTCTTCTGCTCACGACACACGTTCCCCCCTCTCTTCCGGGCAAGATTTCTTTGGATTCCCCGACGGTTTGAGGCACGCGTGCTACAAGGACATTGAAGATCGATCTTGGATTGTTGGCCAAGATCGAGAAGAGCGATCTCGGGAAGTTTGGTCCGGATCGATCAAGTACTCACACTCAACTCAACTACTAGGGTAGCAGCAACACGGTAAAGGCTTTTGGTTACAAGATCGCTAGACGGCTCAAGTGGTTCAAAGATCTGAACAAGGCGCTGAAGACAAGACCGAGCAAGACCAGAGCGATCAACAAGGCAGATCGGCACGTTTCATTTTGGCGAAACTCAAGACTAATCTGCTCACACTGCGCACTTCCAGCAAGATCGGCCGATACCAAGACCAGATCGGACCAACCCAAGGCAAGATCGACGTAGGACTATTAATTGATGAGTGAAGATTTCCGCACAGCAAAGACCCCGATCCCGAACACAAATCGAGATCGGTGTGGTCCAAGATCAAGATCGCAACATCTCCAAATAGAGATCGCCGCTACTCAAGATCAGGATCGCAGAACCCCTATTCGTGGTGCGAAGATTTTCGCACCGAAAGCGAACTCTCAATTCAACCTCTCAGCGAGATCGACATTTCCCAAGGCCATTACGAGGAGCTCAAGCCAGCCCACCCGACGGGTACACAAGGTAAGTACAAGGCTATACGTGAGTCGTCAAGTCTGGGCAAGTGGAAGATAAACCCTCACACAAGCGATTTTGCGAGATCGACTTCACCACAATACCGAATTCACTAGTCACTGTAGCCTTTCGAATTCTGCCTTCCCGTCAGCACGTAGCTATTAAATTTCCACAGACTAGAGTAGCCCAAACTATAACCAATTTTCTGCCATCTTGACGTTGCTTCGTAGGAAGGAAAAAATGCGCACGTAGCGACGGAATTTTTAAAAGTCTACAGGTCGTCCGGATTGCATCTTCTTTCGTCTAAAAAATAATAATGTCCCGTTTGACCCCGGCATCTACCTGCAGCGGCATATCCATAGCCTCGTCTTTGTGCGCATCCATCTACACGGCATTGGATGACAACGCAATAAATATATTTGCGCAGAAAATCCAGTCGACCTTGGCTAGTATGCGTTGCATGGTGCAAATAGAAGTGGGCATGTCGTGGCTTCTGTTGTCACTTCCATCGCTACTTTCGATTAGCATCGTGATGTTAAATATTAGGGTGCATTATTATGTCCAACGGTACAAATAAACTTGTACAGAATGCTCATTTTGATTTCGGCCAAGGTGTACAATTCTAATGTGTCGCGATGGCTTCCAAAAAGAACTAGTATGTGAGCCCCCTGCGCTTTGCAAGATAGCGACTATCTACACAAATATGACGCGTTTACTGATGAAATACACCAAATGTCCAGCTAGCACCCGCAAATTTGTAGAATCAACTGAGCAGCTGATCCACACATTAGTATTTTTGGGCGAGGCGTGAAGTACCGAAAAATCGCTCTTTCGATATACCGGCCACTTAATTAATTGCGAGTCCGAAGGATGAAGATGTTTTTGAGTGTGCGCAAGGTCGGATGCCGAAATTTAAATCGTACCTATCTGTCTGTGAATGTGTCTGTACATAACGCGGTTAGCTGTACCTTACTCGTTTTTTGTGCGATCTAGCCTGCTCCCAACACATAGATATATACACTCATACAAAGTCCTTTTTTTGGCAAGGTCACTATAATGACGCACGCACGGGATTGACTTAGACTTTATTAAAGGTAGTAGTAGATCTAGAACGTCGGTTAAGTAATTTGCCCTAATGACATGGGTGTGCTTCTGCCCACACTACTATCATTTTTTCCTTACTGGCTTGTTCTGCTCGGCTCTTTGGTCATCACGGGCGACACTTGGCAGAGGGTACGTAGAATCGGTAATTCTGTCCGGGGTGTAGACAGGGCGCTGAAAATGCTAGAAATACCGGGGACCAGACCGATCATCTACGATGGGCCGCTGACGCACCTGGACTAGGCCAATCTTGATCACGTGATAAGCAAGTTCGCTTCGTGGGGCTTGGGAGCCATGCTCGTCTACCAGGTCGACAACTCGAGGGCTGAAGTAGAATAGTAGGTACCAGTTGGGGGCTGACAAACGCTGTTGCCGTATTCCTTAAATTAGGGCATCTAAGTCGTTGCCCCCCCTTAATTTGCACACTGCACTGCCTCCCGTAACGCACGCAGCGGCAAGAAGCCACCCATTAATCTGGGGTCCACAAAAGGGGACTTCCCACCTAGGGTAAGGGACCAATCACCCGGCTCTTTGGATAAAGCGGAGCCACTTAGCACTCCTTAACAGAGGAAGTTTTAGACTCAAAGAGTCTCCTAGTTATAACAAAATTACAACGACTTACAGTCGTTCAAGCCTTCGAGCTTAATAATCTCGGTTTAAAGGAATTACAATTTACAGAATCACACACTAACTAGTCACTACTAGTTAAACAAGCGTAAGCGCCTTCACAAGTCTAATAATCTTACAGCACGCTATGCCTTGACTAGGTACTAGAGTCCAACGATTTAAAAGGAAACTGAACTTCATTTATTCTTTTGGCTACGGTGCTAAAACCCTAAAACCTTGCCTGACTGACTTCTACATTGCGATCATTTGATAGAAGTCTGATCCCTTATCCTTACCCGATAAGGTGCGGTAATACCGTAAGCAAGTGGACCCAATACTGTACTACTCAGATCCACCGATCTTCACTTGGTGTGGACACACAAATAACCGGTTCAAATAATCGCGTGTAACCCTGTTATATTGGAGGTCGTCGTCGATTGGCCGTTGTTGCCCGAAGGCGCAAATTGGGAAGTGAAAGTCGACCAAAGGTGAATATGATCACATACGCAAATGCTGGACGATCATAAGCAAAGGCCGATCGCGTTGCCCCAGCCAACTATACTAGGTCAATACAGACATTAGCAGCATCATACTTGTGATTCAGTGACTGCTGCATTTGTGTAGTGTTTGAAAATTAATAAATTTTCTGAACTGATTTACCTATATTAAAGAGCGAGCTTTAAAGCTTGCTCCTATAATTTACTAAAGTAGAAGCCATGTACGCAATCGAACTCTCCATCAAATACTGATGAAGCAGGAGAGGGCTGTGAATGTTGGTAATTCTAGCACTGTTTGTTAATTACGTTTTATCCGGTCACGGGAGAGAACTGCTGTCGATCAAAAGAGAGGTTTATACTATAATAGCTAGAGCTACATTACGGTAGGAGGTGCTTAGCTTACGGCGTGTGTGTAACGGGGTGAATCGTTACATAACAATTTATAAGAAATTGTTAATAGAATATAACTATAAGAGTTATATTCTCAGAATATTGTCATAAGGACAAATATTCTGTAGCACTTACAAGTAGTTCCTAATTGGTTGATATAGGCCATTATATCAACCAACGAAGACGCTCCACGACAGACGCACGCAATGAGTGGTGAGCAGATAACTGATTTACACATTTGTATTTAGACATAGTTAGATGAAGATAAATAGTGATTTATTGCAGACATTAACTATTATAAATACAGTTCTACTTTTTACTCTAACCAAGTACTCGCTTCTTCTTACCGTCTTCCTCTGCACGTACGAGTGTACGTGAAGTTACGAGGTACCGCCTTATTCTGTTATCAGAATAAGTAGCTTGTACTGTCACCAGTACAAGCTTCAGGGTGCCCCGTTACACCTGGTAGCACTTTGTAGTCCGTCCAAGGACCGCGTTCACATCCAACATGAATATGTTGGATGATGAAGATGACCAAAGCTTTCACGCTACGCGTGACGGCTACTCCCATTTGAGCGATGTCGAATGGGATGCGGTTGAACGAATGGGTTCGACCATGGGCATCCATGCTGTTAGCGTCATGCTAGAGGCTCTCAATAGAGATGCCCAACATGCTACTATCGCCAAGTTCATTCAAAATGAACTTGACGCAGA